TCTCCTTCCTGCAGGAATAGTATCGATAAGTCTGTATTTCAGTTCTTCTTAAAAAAATGAACCCAACAATAACTTTTAACCAGATTACAATGAGAAAAGAATATTGGCAATTCACTTGAAGATCTGTGCATCATAAAGTTAAATATGAATATAAAGCCAGAACATTTTATTCATTACACACGATAACAGTAAGTTGGTCTTGAAAAGTTTTTAGAAATCATGACTCATTCTTGCCTGTAGCAAATTTGAAAACCCCCGTACAGAACTTGAAAATGTCAGTATGATGAAAACAGTCAGAAGGTATCGGCTCAGTAATGACATTAAAGATGTTCAAGGACTGGAATATTAATCACAACACTGTTAGGATGTCTTGGAAGTTCCAGGTGGGGAGGTACTGTTGAACTTAGCTGTTTAAATGGGCATAAAAATCTATGTAGGATATATTTTGTGTAATGTTAACTAAATTTCAACTTAAACCACATAGAACTCAATGTTTAAAAAAACATAACTTTTATCATTGGACTGAAAAACTGTCGTGAGATGATATAAATCTCAGTCAGACAGTAATATATATTTAGTTTGTGTTGGTTGAAACCAAAACTTTTCAAGTTGATAAACTGAAAGGTTTAGTGTGGAAGCTGTTTCCAAAAATACTTTAGTTGAACAATTAAAAATATTGTGTTCATTCAACCCAAAAAGAAACTTATGTGCATACTATATTAGTTTATTACACACAATTTTATAGTGTCCAATAAACATAGAAATGCACACTTTCTGATTTTATATATTTCATGTAAAAATGACAAAGATTTAAATGAAAAGGGCAGCAAAACCTACATGACTCTTTGAGAAAGCAGAATTCATTAAGTTTTATTTTCATTAAATGAATCTTTCAATAAATTAATCTACTATGTTTTTTTGTCGTTATTATTATTATTGTTATTATTTTTTATATGTATTTCTTTTATAATGCTTTTCTTTTTTGTAGTACTTTGAGGTCTTTTTGATGAAAAGTGCAGTATAAATCAAATGTATTATTATTATAATTATTATATAACAGCAATGCAATCAGGTTTTGTTTTCAATAATGTAAAACTGAGGACAGAGAGGAGCACAACAACAACAACAACAACAACAACAAAAACACACACCATGGCCGCCCACTGCATCCCCAATGGGGTTGGTTAAATGCTGAGAGTTCATTTTGTTGCTCTGTACTTATGACAGTGTAATGACAATAAAAAGTTGGAGGGAAAAAAACAAAACAAAACAAAACAAAGATCAAGCTCAGCTGAAAAACTGTGACGTATGGACAGAAATCATTCTACAATATCTTTACTAAGGAGTGGAATGATGTTAATCGAAGCACTAGATAACAAAAAACATACAAAACATTTTTCTGGGATGGTTTCACATGTATATATTGATATAATGTAGATTATTTGTGGTATATAGGCTGGTTTCTGTGAATGATTCTTGTGTAAGTGAATCTTTATTGCTGCAGAACTGGAACCTGCTGGAGAACAGTTTTAACTAAGTCAGTAAAAAAAAAAAAAAACATATTTTAAAAATATTGTGGTCTAAACAAATATGAAACAATAAAAAGGGTTAGAGGGGAAATTCAGAACAAAACAAAAACTTTGCAGACAACAAAAAAAAAATAAATAAATGCTAAAACAAGAAGAACAAAATAAAAGCTGCAGTTCAAATATATATGTTTACATGACAGTCAGCCTCGGCAGATGGCCGCTCACACTGAGCCTGGTTCTGCTGGAGGTTTCTTCCTGTTAAAAGGGAGTT